AGAGTTAAAGTCTATGATATTTAACTCTTCATAGATCAAAGATATATGCTAATAAATCAAAATTATCCAATATAAAATATAATTAATAAATAAAAGATTCTTTTGTTAAAGCATCATCGCCTCGGAATCTAAAAATTTTGACAACAGTAACTCCTCACATTGTGCGGCCAAAGTTTTGGCTCAAACAATCAGCAAAGCAAAACAGTGACAGCCATGGCTTATCAAGGTCTCATCAGGCATCAACTAGTTTCTCCGTGTGAGGCCAAAGTTTTGGCTCAAACAATCTGCAAAGCAAGACAGTGACAGCCATGGCTTATCAGGGTCCCATCAGGCATCAACTAGTTTCTCCCATTCAAAACTCTGAGCAGTTGCATGATTTGAACCTTTTTCTTGAAAAATCGAATATGGTTGAACTTTTTTATTAAAGTACTGATAGTGGTGCGCCCACTTTTAGTTATAGTTTCCTTTTTTATCTTTTTTTGACCGACAAGTCCTTTCACTCTTCATTCAAGGGGTGCTAGCTCCTAGTAAGTTATTCATTCTCATCATGTCACATTTAAAATTTCTTATAGAAAGTGAAAGCTTACTACGCGAATGACAACCATTCTGTTTTAAAAATCAATTTTTGACCAGAAATAGGTTTTCTATTTCTATTCTATAGATGAGTTTCTGAGCAAAAATATGCGTTTTATAACGACATAAAATTTATGTTCCCGAAACAAAAATCAGTTTGATAACGGCATAAAATTTCTCTCTCGGGCGACCGGCAAGTGGACGGCGGGTGGGCGGTGGACGGCGAGAGATGGCGGCGACCGGCAGCAAGAGGGGGCTAGCTTCAAGCAACGGCGAGAGGCAGGCGATGGCCGACGGTGGGAGGCGGGTGGCAATGAGAGGAGGGCGGTGGCAGGAGGTGAGCGACTGGCCATCGGCATTCGGCGGGGAGGGACAATGGCCGGCGGATGGTTGGAGGCGGGCGGCGGCCCACGGCGGTTGGCAGCCCACGGCGGTCGGCGGCGGGGGACGACAACGATGGCTGGCGCTTGGCGGGAGGCAACGAACGACAAGTGGGCAGCGATAGGAGGTGGGCGGTGGGTGGGGAAGGGTAGGCAACCGGCTAGTAGCAAAGGCAAACAATGAGAAGAATTATTATTTCTTATTTTTGTTCCAGAAATAAAAAAAGTAGAAAATTTTTATTTCTCATGTATGTTCCAAACCTATTTCTAAAATCAAAATTTATTCCAGAAATAGAAAAATGAAATTGCGTTACCAAATAAATTTATGTTCCAAACCTGTTCCCAGGAAAAATAGAAAAATAAAGAAAGAGAATGGTTACCATTCGCAGCCTTAGTGGACTTGGGGAAAAGAAAGCTCAGTCTCTTCTTTTTTGAATAACGACACTCCAGTCCAAGTAAATATAGGAAAAAAGGAAAAGAAATAAAGGAAGAAAGAAAAGAACCAAGTTATGTATGCTTTCAATTTGTGTATCTTTTTTTTTTCTTAAGTGGAAAATAGAGGAGGTTTGTTTCCGTGCTTTGTTTCTTGCCATTGACACTAACTACCTATCTAAGAATTTTCAATTTGTTGTGTTATTCATATACCAAGCAGCGAATGGTATATGAATAACACTCAATTCGTTAGGATTTTCGCTTGCTAGTGGTGTATTCCCTTGGTCGGCTAATTGGTGTTGTGGTTTCGATTTTGGCTTTGCTTCGAGACGCTTGACAATTTCGCATATTTTTGAAATTAAAACAACAGTGAGCAGCCCGAGTTAAGTCTAGACTTAGTAATCCATTAGCCAACTCCTAGGTGATTCACCTCCAGGAAGGTTGCAACGTCAAGTTTAAGTCCGACTCAAACAAGTTTTCCGATGAGCTCGAGCGCAATTATTCGATTATTCAATGAGTTTTACCCGAAGCTTGAATTAGCCCTTGAGCTCAACCTTGCGCTGTGGCTCAAATTTTGGAAAATACACTATAATACATAATTAGTAATTTTGTGTACAGGGAATGTTTATAAGTAATCGAAACATATAAAATAAAGTTACTCAAATTAAGTATTTTGAAGCTTTAGTTTGACTCGAGTAAAGTGGTCGAGCTACTCGAAATCGACTTGAATAAAAAAGAATCGAGCCGAATATCAATAGCATCTTCCGAGTCGAACTCGAATAGCTCACAAGTAGCTAGCTGGACTCACTTGTGCCACTCGGTCTACCCGATAATTTCTCCTGTCGAGTGTCTCTGCTGTTCACAATTCAAAGAGGAAAATTTTCTTCACTGTGCTCTCTCGCGTAGCACGTTGAAGAACTTTAAGTTCACAAGGAACAAGGTGTGGAACGCCTGATTTAGTCAACCCTACGCACCATAGTTGAAAGGAGGAAAACAAAAAAAATTGGCTGGCAAGCTGGAGAAATTAGATACAGAAGAATTTATTGATGATTCACAACGAAATATTGGCAAGCCGGGTCATTTGAATTACATTAAGCACATGGACACTCCTGACCCAATTTAAACTGCTCTGCAGAACCACTCAGTGTTACTACTTGCCCATACAATTAATTCTCAAGATCTCAGAAATGATCATTGAAAGCTGATTATCTGAAACTAACCATTAGAAAACAACAAAGTCAGCAAGACAAAATGTAATCCTAATTTTGAATTAGACAAGAGGTAATCCTAAGTTGGAATTGGTTTCCATCTGCTCACGAAATCTTCCTGAATGGGTGGGTCAACGAAGAAACGTTGTGTAGGTTCAAAGTACACCGAGGCTACGTTTGGTAGTCGGGATAAAATTTGGGATATGATAAATTTTATTCTATCCTGTGTTTGGTGCCTGCTCAAGATAGGATAAAGTCAGATATATAAGGGATATAGCTCGGATAAAATTATCCCATGAGAAAGGTGGAATAAAGGTGAATAAGATTTCTAATATCCATAATATAAAAGTTATTTTTCTCAAATAACAAACTTGTTAAATTAATAAAATTAAAATAATATATTGAATATAAATAATATTTGAATTTTAATATAAAAAATTCAAAATAACAATAAAATAAAAACAAAATCGTTTTTATTTATATATTCAAATATTCTTTCTATCTTATGATACAAATTTCATATATATACACACACACATTTAATATTCATATTTATTACATATTTTAGGCATATTTGTATAGTTTACCATTTAATAAAATTTTATTAGAGAATCATGGAAGGGGAAGAAATAAATAATAATAATTAAAAAAGAGAGGGAAAATAATAAAAAATAAATAAAAATGAAATAGATATGAGTATCGTGAGAAATTTTTATCATCTCCGTTTGTGCAATTTGTAGGTTCATTTATACTAATTTAACGCTCAAAACAAATAATAAACATAGCAATATGTGAAAATATCTGGCTTTATTAATGTGATGCACCAAACAACAGATAGGATATTTCAAATTCCTTGGATTTTATATCCTATCCTGATTAGAAATCCGGACGACCAAAGGCGGCCTAAATGTGCGTTTGTTTTGGTGAAAGTACTTTCCGGACTTTCATCCGTTTGGTTGTCTGAAAATGATTTGATTAACTGAAAATACTTTCTGATCAAGCAAAACATTCATATATAAATTTAGGAAAGTGAATTCCATAATTTAAAAAGGTGAAAACGCTTTTCGGAATTGATTATCTTAAATTTATTTTTCATTTCTTTTTTCTTTTTTTCCTTTTCTTTTCTTTTTCTTTTCTTTCTTTTCCTTCTTCCTCCCTCTGTCGATCGCCGGCCTCGACGACGGCCGACGATCGGCCACAGGCTTAGCCGATCCAGGCAAGCTCGAGCTCAGCCGAGGCCAGCGAGCTACGATCTCGTCAGCCTGAGCTCCGTTGAGGCCGATGAGCTCGCGGCTCACCAGATCCAAGCGTGTCGAGCTCGGGCTCGGTGGAGGCCAGCGAGCTCATGGCTCACCAAATCTCGGTGAGCTCGAGCTCGAGCGAGGCCGGCGAGCTCGAGCTCACATGTGGCTGTTGTTGAGCGAGCCTCAAGCTCACCTGTGGCCATCGCTAGGCCAGCCTCCAGCTCGCTTATGGCCGTCGCCGGCCGGTCGCAGCGGAGGAAGAGGAAAAAAAAGGAAAGAAAAGAAAAGAAAAAGAAAAAGAAAAATAATTACAAATTCGTATTTTAAAAAAAAGAAAAGAAAAAGAATATAAAATTCGAGTTTTTTAAATAAAAAAATAAAAATTTGGTTTTTTTAAATCATTTTACAAATAATATCCAAACCCCATAAATTGTTTTCGATCATATATTACCAAACAAAGGAAAACTAACCGTTTTCCTGAAAAACATTTTCCAAAAACATTACGTTGTCCGTGAAACAAATACACCCTAAGGGTGCTTTCGAGGAAAAGTGTATTCCAGGAATCCGTTTTCCGGACTTTCACCTGTTTGGTTCTCCGAAACTGATTAGTCAACCGAAAATATTTTCCGGTCAAGGAAAACATTCATGTATAAAATGAGGAAAGTGAATTCCTTAATCTAGGAAAGTGAAAATACTTTCCGAAATTGCACATCTTGAATTTGTTAATATTTTATTTTTTATTTTTCTTTTCTCTTTTTCCTTTCTTTCTTTTTCTTGTTCCTTCTTTTTCACTCCACCAGTCGCCGGCCTCGGCAACGGCTGGTGAGCGGCCACAAGTGTGGGCCTTAGGTGAGGCCGAGTTCGCCAGATCCCGGCGAGCTCAAAGTTGGCAAGATCCCAGCGAGGCTCGAGCTCACCTAAGGCCAACGAGCTCCAACCTTGCCAGATCCCGGCAAGCTCAACCTCGCTCGAGGCCGGCAATGGTTAACCTTGCCCGAGGCCGGCCAGGTAGGCCCTCGCCAGCCGTCACCGAGGCCCAGCGACAAGCGGGGGGAGGAAGAAGGAAAGAGAAAAAGAAAGAAAAGAAAAAGAAAAAGAAAATAATAAATTATTTAAAAATTCTATATATATATATTTATTTATTTTAGCTTAAGATAAAGCCATGAGATTGAAATCATTTTCCAAATATTATTCAAACACCATAAAACTTTTACAATTACATATCGCCAAACAAAAAAAAAAAACTAACAATTTTCCTGGAATATAAGTTTACGGATAACACTTTACAGATTCGTTATATATTTCGTGAAATAAACGCACCCTAATCGTAGCTGCGAAGAATGAGCTCCCTAGCTATACCATATTTGAATGGCAAATATTAAATGGTCGAGCTTTGGCTTGGCGTTAGAGTCTGTGGCTGACTAGGAGGCTCTCGCTCTATGCCGGCATGAGAGACCAAAGCCCACAAGTGAGTCACAAATTCCCCTCCCATTGCCAAGCGCTGGGCGTGCGCTTTTGCATCGTCCGATGGAGCCACATACAACGTAAGTTCGGCCCAAAACTCAGCCAAAATCTCCCAAATGCGCTGCAAGTCCTCTTCCAGCAATTGATTCCCCAACCGAGCGCCCCGCTTCATAACCGTATCCCCTGATGTTTCCGCAATCTTCTTCAGTCGTTTGATTCTCGCTTCATCTGTCTTGTACCCCTCAAGCACCTTCCGAGCTTCATGGATGGTTTGGTTGAACTCGTTCTCTGCATCGAAAGGATGATCGGGTAACAATCTTGGCTCGAATGCCACCAAGTAAGCAAGATATTTGGACAACTGAGTTGCTACGCGGAAGTTTGAATCTTCTTTCAACGGCGGCTTGTGCTCAAGAATGCTCGTAGCTATATGCCACACCATTATAACCTCAGTTTGCGTCTTGAGCTCGCACGCCCAAGAGAGCTTATTGGACACACCGTTTGCTGTCAAAGAAGCTTGTCCATTCTTCAATTTCACCAATTTCTCGTCACCTTTCACCAGAGAATCAAATACAGCCTTCTTCACTTCGTCTGACAAATCAACGGGAGTGCCCTGTTTTTGACCGCTCCTAACGACATCAATGAAATACGTTGTGAAGAAATTGTGGAGAAATCTGGAAGGGACGTAATTGTACGATTCGAGAAAAGAGTATTGGCGAAGTTTCCTTTCCCAAGGCTTCAAATGTACCCGGCATATTAGTCCTATCAGCTTCTCCATGAGCTTGTTCCCGTGCCACGACTTCTTTTCCACATAGTTGGAAAGCCATCTAACTTTCGCCCATTCGGAGATAGCCATCAGATAGAGCTGGACAACCTCAACACATATGAATACCATGAGAACAAGCGCAGTCATGAGAACGTCGACGCTCAACCCATGGGATGTCACCAATTGGACAACTGCATCTTGGGGCTTTGTGGTCTTGGGCATCAGGAATACAACTGTTAGCATAGTGCCTATGATCAAACACAAAAGCTCCACCACTTTCAGCGGCCAAAGGCGCGCTTGGAAAATGATGGGGTAATTGGTGTAGAAATAATCGTGAAGAAAGGTAAGCTCGACTTCGGCAACTCGAAATGCTCGCTCATACCCACTTTTTTGCCGAAGAATTCCATCTCGAATAAAAACCCACGCCTTCCGATGAGCTTTTTCCGGCAACAAGTAGCGCGAAAATTTCAAACGGAGAAGCAGGTAGAGCGCATAAGAGAGACAAATATCCTTGAGCCTGTCACCTTCCTCGAGCTTGTTACCCGGCTTGTCACCCGGGTGTTCCTCGAGCTTGTCACCTGTGTGTTTTCCTTTTTTTGAGTTCAAAAGCGGCCCTTTGCATGCCCACACCTTTCCTACGGTGATGACTTCCCCGTCGTCTTTTGAAGAATTTGGCGATGGTGCTGCGCCTTCGCTAAGGACTTTCAGGAGTACGGTCCGACTCGCTTTCACCACATATTTGCATCCTTCCATAGGATTGTCATCCGGAACCGGGGAACAATCCTCAGCGCTAACATGATCCACGACCCATTTTGTGATTCTATGCCGGCCACCCGCGTGCAACGACACGAGCGATAGTGCTCTCTCTGTGGTCTTAAGCATTAGGAGGACAAAATAGAGTACGAAAACCGCCAGCGTCAATGGCAAGATGGTCAGATAGAATGCCCACAATGTTACAAACCCTATGAACGTGACTATGTGTTGCCAAGCATATTGCTTCCACTGCTCATTGTCCTCGAGACTATATGCAGAGAAAGAATTCGAGCTTCCGAGGAAGATCATCAAGAAAGTAGCCCACAGCGGGAACAGTGGGTTGCGGAACGGGGATTCGTGCATTAGCCCAAGCGTGTATGTTATCAAGTAGCCCGAGAGAGTGAACGCCGCCCACAGCACGACCTTGAGCATCGGACTGTTGTTCCGACGCCTCAATGAGCCGAAAGCTACAAGTAAAAGGAGCAGGAAGGCGACCACGCCCACGGAGAGCTCTATCTGGGCAAGTTTGCCCTCCGGGGTTTGGAGCCTCTTCACGACAACTGTGGCCTCGGTGATGGTTTCGTTCACCGTCCCCGTTCGGCTTCCTTGCAAGTCCCTCATGTTTCTTTTTCCCTTGGTGAGTAAAGACAGATTGTGTCCTTGGTGAGTGTAAGAGAGAGCCAAGAAAGTTCAAAAGCTTTGAGAGCTCGTTTCCTGGGTGGGGAGACGAAAGAGGAAACCCTTCTTTTTATAGACGTCACCTCTGATCTACCGAGTGGGGCACAGTATCGAAATTGTGAGTCCACCCGACACATGTTCCTTTATTTAGTAAACATCACCCTTTCTCGTTCAAAAGGACTTATAATTGACGACACAAGGAATCGTCTTTACCTCCTTTAGAGACATGGGAAAAGAGGATATTCCTTGCTTGGCTCGAACTCGGGGTATCAACAAAAAGAAATGGATTAATGTAACTCAAAATCTCAAATTAGTGCTCCATGACACATTTACCTTAAATTAATTTTTCGTCTCACAAAAGATTTCCAAACTAATGATACATTCACTCAAAATTAATCTTCGTCTTAAGAAAAATCCTAATATTATCCTTAACCCAAATCTACCCTCCACATCATACCCCAAACTATTTTCTTTTTCGGTCGGAAGACCCCAAACTAGTAATGGAGGGTAAATTGGGGTTAGGTGTACTGGTTCTTCATTAGCTGGAAATTAGGTTTATGTAAATGTGTCATGATTATCTGTTGGCAAGATTTTTGTCTCCTATTCTTGGAATGGAGATATTTTTGCTATTATATTATTCTTGTTTCCTATTTCTGGTGTTTCCTTCCTTAAGTAAAATGGTTGCATGTTGCCTTGTTGTGAGCAACCGTATGCATATATGATGAATAATGGCAGATCTACTCTCTATGAAAAAAAGGAAGAGAGGGGGAGTTTTTTGTCCGTGGATGTAGGCATATATTGCTGAACCACGTTATTTCCTTGAGTTATATTTATGTGTTTGATCCTGCTAAACTTCAACATGGTATCAGAGCAGGTTGTGTTTTGATTCCGTTTGCGATTCCGTCTTTGTGTTCCAACAATCGGGTCCTTGTCCCAATCGATTACAATTTTTTTTTGTCTGCATTGCTGCTTGTTCTGAGGCATGGATACGAAACAAGATGAAGTCTCTGGATCTGATCCTTTAAAGGCTGTTGTTCATGAGTCACACAGCCAACGTCTGACTTCCTTGTTGCTGAATGGAAACAACTTCCTTCCTTGGTCTCGTGCTGTGACTATTGCCCTTGGTGGAAGGTCTAGGCTCGGACATATCAATGGGCGGACCCCTGCTCCGCCGGCGGGTAGCCCAAAATTTGAAGAGTGGCAAGCTAATGACCACAATGTTATGACATGGATATTTAACTCCATGGAAACCCGCATCTATGAGATATTCGCATATTCGGATTCTGCTCGGACTTTATGGGAGTCGTTGTGTGAAGTGTATGGACAAGAAAATAATGCGTCCAGGATCTTCGAGTTGCAGCAAGGGATTGCTAACTCCAAGCAAGGTTCAAATCAATCCTTTACTGAGCATCTAGGAAATCTGAAGAGACAATGGGATGAACTCCGCCAATATAGGCCCCCTACTAATATTGTTGCCGACTACATCAAACGAGAAGAGCAAGATCGCATTTTTCAGCTTCTGGCTAGCCTCAAGCCTGAGTTTGAAGAAAGCAGGAGACAAATATTGACTGGTCAGCAAATACCATCCTTCAATGCCGTGTGTTCCATTATTCAGAATGAGGAAACAAGACGAAGGGTGATGCAATCAGATCGTGTGTCAGTACCAGATCCTGTGGAGCATTCAGCCCACAACGTGGCTAGCAAGCCTAGGCAAGGTGATTTGGTCACGCGATTCGTCAAAGGCAAAAACAAGAAACCCATCCGTTTTCATTGTGATCACTGTGATCGTGATGGTCACTCTAAGGAGAGATGCTGGTCTCTTCACCCTCATCTTCGCCAAAACAAGGAGAAGGGGCCGAACGCCAATGCGGTTATTCAAGGAGATTCGGCAGATATTCAGACAAAGCTTGATTCTTTGACTGAACAAGTGCAGCAGCTGATTCAAACGCATGGGCTTGGGACGAATACTGCTAACAAGGAGTTCGGGAATCTTGCCACAACATCTGGTAATGAGTATGCACTTTCTGTTTTTTTTAAAACACGATTTATTGTGGATTCTGGAGCCACAGATCACATGTGCAGCTCTTCAAATATATTGTCTCATACTGGTTATAGCACTTTGCATCCTCCTATTACAGTTGCTAACGGGGTGCAGGTTCCCACACGAGGAGTGGGACAAATCAAATTTTTTTCAAAGGAATCGGAAGCTTTGTTGGTTCCTAAACTATCATCAAATTTGATGTCTGTAAGCAAATGTACTTGTCATGCCCCGAACCCCAACGGGCTCGCGACACCCCTTCGATGGTCGTATTGAATGCGACGTCCCAGGACGTGTCGCTGACCCAAACGAAACACGCAAAGACAAACATAAGCGGAAGCGGAAATTAAATAACCCATACAATAAATAATAACAAAGGGATAGCACAAAACAATAATTTCAAATACACAACATCAAAAGGGAACAGTGGTTGGGTATCCTACTTTGCTATACAAAAGAGGGGCATCCAAAGATGAAACGAAGCATCAGATGCCCAAGGTCACTCCCGGTCTCTGAACCGTACGTGACAACTATCCATCACTTCAAACCTGAAAATGTTTAACAAGGGGAATGAGATAAATCTCAATAAGCAGACCCCTAAACCCCACATAGGCCAATGCGTACCCAGACAAGTTCAGCATGCAATCTAACCGATTACATATGTATAATTCACATAAATTGACTTACCTCGCCATCCAATCACATGCCCACACTGCACATTAGTCAAATCATGATATGCAATAATATCCCAAGAATATAACATAATCACTCGAGCGCCATCCATACTTGCACTCAACCAATCCAACCAAACATCCACACGTACATTCAACCAATTCAACCAAATATCCACATATTCATCCGGCCAATCCAACCACTCACATTACGCACACGTGCCCAACCAACTATCCACGACCCGCATCAACGCGCCTCAGGTCCATTCTCACAGCCCGCGTAAACACACCTCAGGCCCAATCACACGACCCGCGTAAACACGCATCAGGTCCATTCTCACAGCCCGCATAAACACGCCTCAGGCCCAATCACACGACCCGCGTAAACACGTATCAGGTTCATTCTCACAGCCCGCGTAAACACACCTCAGACCCAATCACACGACCCGCGTAAACACGCCTCAGGTCCATTCTCACAGCCCGCGTAAACACGCCTCAGGCCCATTTGACACACCGACCATTCATACTTTCACACGGACCGCCGTCAACACGTCCCAAGTCCGTAGCCCTCCGATCAATCCGGGCTCAATTCTAATGACCGACGTAAACACGTCCCGGTCCAACACACCTTTAACAGGCCACCGTCAACACGTCTCAAGCCCGCATCCATTTGGCACATCGGCCATTCATGCCTTTCCACGAACCGCCGTCAACACGTCCCAAGTCCGTTCTCACAACCCGGGTCAACACCCTACAGGTTGGCAGCCCTCCAATCGATCCGGGCTTGGTCAAGCAAACACACACGCCACTTAATTCATCCATCACTCTAGCCCATTAAACCCCATCTACCATTGTAAGCCCGAGCCCATATGATATACATTAAACCAACCACGAATAATTAACGCGAATCATCGCCACACAAATATTGAATCACACACGAACAATCCAAAATCGCGGCATAAATTCCAGAATCAACGGCCCCCAAACAAACCCTAAAATCAGCAATAAACCACCTCGATTCAGCCTACGTTCCAACCCAATCACCCATCCCGAACTCACCACCATTTTCTTCACTAAACCGCACTAAATCAGCCACCCAATCCGCACCAAACAGTCCATAACAGCCACTATTTCCACTCTGACGACCCCTAAATAAGTCTATTGATACCCAAAGTCCTAGACAAGGTTTAGGGTGTCGCTTACCTCGACTTGAACAAGAAAACGAGGCTGGGCAGCGGGGAAATCACCGGGACAGCAGCGGCAGCGGCGACCTGACGAGGCTCTCGACCACAGTCGGGCAGCAGGGCAGCAAGGTGGGTCCCGGCTGAGGAGGCAGCAGCTCGGCGGCAGCAGGGGCGAGCAGAGGGCTCGCCGGAACAAGTAGCAGCTCCGGCGGCGACGGGAGAACAGAAGGCCGAACGACCGAACAGGGGAGGGGAGGCGCTGGGTTGGCCGGAACAGGGGAGGGGGTGGTTCTGGGTGGCCGGCCAAGCGATGGGGTGGCGGTCGGTGGCTGAGGCAGCGACGGTTGGCCGGGGCAGCTCGCAGCGGCGAGCAACGCCGGCACGGCCAGATCTGGCTCGAGCTGGAGGGAAAGAGAGAAGGGAAGGGAGAGATGGGAACGGTCGGGCTCGGGACGATCGGCGGCACGGACGGCGACTCCAGGTCGACGGGAACGCCGGCCGGACGGGCAGTGAGGCACGCGGCGGCAGACGGCGGCGCGGTGGAAGACACGCGCGCAAAAGGTAGGAAAAACCAGATCTGGAGCAGGGGAGGAGACCAGCCGGTCGGGGGCGGCGGCTGGCGGACGGCGGCGCGGAGGTCGAGCTAGTTGGCGATGGCGGCGACGCGCGGCGGCCAGGCGAGCTCAGGCGGTCGGCGTCGGGCAGCAGGGAGAAAGAGCAGAAGCAGGAGCAAAACCAGATGCGGAAGAAAGAAGGAAGAAGAAGAAGAAAGAAAGAAGAGAGAAAGAAAGGAGAGAGAAGAAGAGAGAGGAGAGAGAAGGTCTGAGGAAAATGAGCGTGAAGAGACACGTGCAGGGGGCCATCGTGCGCAGCAGAGGGGGAGGAGAGAGAGAAAGAAAGAGGGAGGGAGAGAGAGAGTAAGAAAAATAAACGTTCATTCAAATATTAATTGCAATCCGATGGCCCAAATTCAAAATCGAAAATGATCTACCGGTCCAAAATAAACCTCGAATGTAATAAGGGACAAAGGTCAAATTAATTAAATCAAACTATAACGAGAGAAGTCTACTAATCCAAATTCGCACCCGGTCAAAAATCCACTTTTCACATATTTCGAGCAATCTCGAGGCCAACCACAATAATATCGACACCGTCTAATTAAATTCGTCCCGAAAC